ACAGATGCAGATATAGAAAATATAGAAAATAGCACATTGTCCTCTTAACCTAAAGTGGACAAAACTTTTGGGCCTACTGGAGACAACAAAGAACTCAAATTGCCAAAAAAATAACCTCAAGTAAGCTGGTTTAAAACTGAAATGTGTTAGACAGATGTAATTTAACAAAACTTAACAGAAAATCTTGCAATGAATACATTCACTACTTTTCTAGGTCTATTTTTATATAGCACAAATTTTTTTATAATTCGAATTTATAATTTTTACAAACCTCTGGTCAAGTGTAAAATCGAAATTTCTCAAACTTTTTCCACCTCGTAAAAGTAAACAACCTCTAGTAAACAACTTGCAAAGACACATCAATAAGATCGTATGTTGTCTTTTCTTTTTTCAGTAAAAACGATGAGTAGTCATAACGGGTGGACAAAACTTACGGGCCACCCTGTAGGTATGTATATATATATACGTGTATTAACAAAATTTAATTCTGATAAATATTTAATACAACCTGAAGCCAGTTTAAAATGCAATGTTTGAATCAAAGTAAAATATTACATTTTGTCAACATAAAAATAGCTATATTTCAATTTAAAAGTAATCAGAATAAATATTAAATAAATAAAAATTTAACTTTATAAAAGACTATATCAGTAAGCTATTTCAATTGATTGTTTCACTAAAAATAATTCTTTAAATAAGCAATTGTTTAAATATGTTTTTAAATTACAACTTAATTAAATACAAATAATGTAATTTTTTTTTTATTTAATTAATATTTACTTTTGCTTTAATTTAGAGAGAAAAAAGAAAAAAATGGATTTCAAAAAATAATCCCTACAGTGATACTTATTCTATCAAGTTTTGAAATTTGTAAAGAGTTTGTACAGGCTTACTTATTGAAGAAAGACTATTTTAAAGACTTCAACAATTACTTGGAGTTAATACTTTACTCATCTACTTTTATATTTATGTTGTCATTTATTAAACATGTCACTATGAATATAAAGTGGACTGCTGGAGTATTTTCAATTTTATTTGCTTGGACTAATTTGTTACTTTACTTAAAACGAGATACCTTTTTTGGAGTTTATGTTGTTATGATTATTGAAGTTTTAAAATCGTTGATTAATGTTATTATGGTATTTGTGATGATCATTATAGCATTCTCTTTATCATTTTTTGTTCTTTTTGAAAATTCATCTTTTTCCTCTCCTGAATGGTCTATGGTAAAAACCATTGTCATGACACTTGGGGAGACTGATTTTAATGACTTGTTCATAAATAACAATACTACAGTTGATAATAGTGATTTACCATACCCAGAAATGTCATATATCTTGTTCACATTGTTCTTGATTGTTTGCCCTATAGTACTTATGAACTTGTTAGTGAGTATAATTAATATAATCATATTTTCTTCTTATTTTTTTTTTACTTATTTTAAGTATTAAGAAAAATTTTAATGTTTCAAATCTTTAAAAATATATGAAGTACTTTTTTATTAAAAATTTGAGTATTATTTTTCTAAAGAACTTGTTGACTTAAAGTGGATATTATATGTTTATTTAAACAAATAATTTTCTTTAGGTTGGTTTAGCTGTAGGTAATATAGCTGATGTTAGAGATTCAGCTTACATACTAATGTTGAAAGCTCAAGTTGATATTCTAAAAGCACTTGAGTCAAGATATCCTAAAAAATTGCTGAAAAAAACTTATCATGAGATACTTACTGTTTACCCTAACACTGTTTCCTGGAAAAAAAGGTTTTTGATTATTATAATTTTTATAATTTATTGTTTACTACTATTAATAAAACAATAGTAAAGAAATGAAAACAAATAAAAGTGTTGTAGTCTAGCAGTTAGACATTTGTGACCTAGCAGCTAGTTTGGACATCTAACCAGTTTCTGAAACAGGGTAGCTGTAGTTTAAATTGGAGTTTTAAATTGATTCACTGCCCTAAAACCAGACTAACAATGGTTTCCTGTATAAATTATGGTAATATTATTTTATTAAGAATCTGCTGGGCTTTACTTTTTGAGATTTTCTGCTGGGCAGAGTTTATACTGTTTAGATTTGTTAGTTCATATTTGTTATTTGCATTTTTATATTATATAAATATGGTTAGATTTTAAACTTAAATAATAAAAATGTCTATAGAAATTTGTAGAAGACTTTCTTTATTATAAACTGAGCTGGGTGGTAATGACACTTAATCTGCTACATGTAGACTCTATTTGGTAGCAGAGCTGCAAAAGTTGTAAGAACACTTTCTTTCAGTAAATATGGTAGCAGAATCCAAAGCCCTACTGTACTATCATTTAAATTTAGCAGAAGAGTATAAATTATAATTTTATTTACAAAAAGCTAAGTAAAAGAAAAATGAAACAATGAAATTATCAAAATAATCTAAGATATGTAAAATTTGGTTTAAAGATCTTGAAACTAAGGTACGTGTTTCAAATCAAATGTCTACAATTAGCTCAATGTATTAACAGTATTAGGCAGATCCTAGCATTGATTTAGACTTTTATAATATCTCATTAAAGTTAATTTTTGTATTATGTTAAAAAATATAATAGGAAGATGGCTGACATAAGGCTCCAGACTTTCTTTCAGTGATGAATAATAACAAAAACAATTCAATGTATTAAATGTTTTGCATTTGGAGTTTAGTAATGCAAAATAATTCTTTCAAAATAAATGAACATTTTACTTTAAATTTTTCAAAAATTTTTACAGTACCACCCATACAGTAGACCCATGTAACTTACTCAAGTGTCCACACTTGTATTTATATTATACCTTGCATGTCAAACTTATATAAATATTAATCTTTTTTAATTTTTTATTTATTTTTATTTATTTTTTGTAGTTATCAAGGTGTTTTAAGATGGCTTAATAGTCTAATCACAGGGCACCATGTAAGAACCTTCAACTAGAGGTGTCCAGGATAGAATATTGGGCTCGATATTTGGGCTGAGTTTGTATAATACCCCATATCCGTTATCTGGCTGGATAATATATAATCTGGCTGGCAATGTTGGATATTTCATGTTAATAAATAATAAGAAAAAAAAACTTGTTTTAACTTTTTCTGCAGTCTTCAAGATACACAGTTTAGGCCTGATCAAACCATTTTGCAATTAGCAAAATAAGAGAAACTAGAACACAAATTCTAAAGTGTTTATTTTTTAAAATAATCTATTATAAGTAAATTCAAAATTTTTTTATTAAAGTTATATATCTTAAATATATAAGAATTATTTGTGTTCAATAAATACATATTTTATCATTCATTTATGAATGAATTTATTTGTATTATTATGTATAAACAATAACATTTCTCTGCATTAAGGCTATTGTTCCTGAATATAGAAAATTTATATATTTAGAAACAATCGCTCTGAAAACACATAAGATGCTGGTGGTGCTTTAAGGTTTAGTTCTTTTAGCAGTGCATGATAACCAACCGTTTAGTATTACAAATGCTAATTGGTTAGTTATGTAAAGAAATCATCATAGCTATTTTTTGTTTGTATTTGCTTTGACTTTTTATCATTAATTTTGCATATCTTTTTGATGAATATTTTAATTGAAAATAAAATGACATAAAAATGCAAATTTTTAACTTTGAAAGACATTTGCTTTTTGATTTCACATTTTTTCTTACAATAAGCATTAGCTTTTGAAAATGTTTGTTTAAAATTCTTAACATACTTTTAGAACAATTTTGTAGAGTTGAAGAAGTCAAAGGTTAAATTTTTTTCTCTTTCCTTTCATATCATTTTAAAGAAATTTTTTGATGTTATTGTGCAGTAAAGTTGTAAAAAATTTTTGAATAAAATTATTAGGTTTTCTGCTTATTAACTTTCTACATAGAATACAAGCTGTTGTCATTTTAGATGAATCATTTATTATAAAAAGTTTCCAAACAATATTTTTCATTTTAGAATTTTTACATTAGTGAAATTTTAAAATATTTGACATCAAAATATGCATTGAAGGTTTTGTAATAAAAACATCATTTTCATTACAAATCAACATTTTTGATTAGGCGGTTATTTTGTAACCAGCTGTATATTTAAAAAATTCTATCTGGGACATTCCTACATTCAACAAGGAAGTTCATGCCTCCCTCTTTACCAATGTTGCTTATCTGGCAAGAGCTCGCATTGAATCACTTGGTTATTCTTATTTTACTAATTGTTAATTGTTATTTTTTAGATTCAAAATTTTGAATCTAAAAAAGTTGAATTTGAAATATTAATTGTTAGGTATGTAAAAAAATGTCCATTATGTGGATTTTGTTTAGCAAAGAAGTGAAAGGATTGGGGTAGTACTTTAGAATATTTAATAGTGATACCCAGCTCTGATTATAGCTGGATATTTGTCTAAAATTAAAATGTATTTTTTTAGTTTTTTTCAACTGTTTGGTATTCCTGACTTCAATTCCTTAAAAGATAAACAAGAAAGTAGATCCAAATGGAAAACAAACATTGCAAGAGATTTAGAATTGGAACATATTGAGTTTGATCACCTAGAAAAAAGAATAGAAACAATAAAAATGTTGATGAGAAAACATCTAGAGATAACAGACGATATAATTGTTGCTCTGAAGATTAGCGAAAACTAATTGATTATAAACTACTACTTTTTAATAATTAGTTAACAATAAATAAGTTTTTGTTCATTTTAATTTCTAATTATCAGTACTTTATAAAAGTGAATTAATGATATGTATTTTATTTTTAATTAGCATTAAATTGTACATATACACAGTTATTTATTACAACTTTTTATCAAAATTTGTTGTTTACCTCAAGGATTTATTTATATCTTTAAGATTAGTTATTATAAAATTGTAACAATTATACTGTTTACGCTATTATTTGTATAATATATATGTATAATTTATACATACATACATATATATATATATATATATATATATATATATATATATATATATATATATATATATATATATATATATATAT